ATATAAAATCCTTGCAAAAAAAATCTACTTACAAAAGGTACTTAAAAACAGCTTTTTTTCATTTTGCAACACAGCTACTCATTCACATCTTAATGTATATTTTATACTAGAAACATGAAAGGAGGAGTTTGGTAGCCAAGCTCAGCATAGCCACTCCTATAAATGATCTGGATTCAGATGTTGGGGCCAGGACAAATGCTAACCAAGGCTTATTTTGACTATATATACACACACTATATTGACAAAAAGTATTGGGACACCCCTCAAAATCATTGGATTCAGGTATTCCAATCACCTCCATGGCCACAGGTGTATAAAATCAAGCACCTAGGCATGCAGACTGCTTCTATAAACATTTTTCAAAGAATGGGTCGCTTTCAGGAGCTCAGTGAATTCAAGCGTGGTACCATGATAGGTTGCAGCCTGTGCAATAAATCCATCCTTGAAATTTCCTTGTTACTAAATATTCCAGTCAACTGTTAGTGGTATTATAACACAGTGGAGTCAACTGGGAACAGCAACTCAGCCAAATGGTAGGCCACATAAAATGACAGAGAGGGGCCAGCGCATGCTGAAGCGCACAGTGTGCAGAAGTTGCCAACTGTCTGCAGAGTCAATTACTAAAGACCTCCAAACATCATGTGGCCTTCAGATTAGCACAACAGTGTGTAGATAGCTTCAAGGAATGGGTTTCCATGGCCGAGCAGCTGCATCCAAGCCTTATATCATCAAGCGTCAGATGCAGTGAAGTGTTCTCTGGAGTGACGAATCACACTTCTCTGTCTGGCAATCCAATGGACGTGTCTGGGTTTGGCGGTTGCCAGGAAACGGTAATTGCCTGATTGCATTGTGTTGAGTGTAAAGTTTGGTGTCGGAGGGGGATTATGGTGTGGGATTGTTTTTCAGGGGTTGGGCTTGGCCCAGTTCCAGTGAAGGGAACTCTTAAGGTGTCAGCATATCAAGACATTTTAGACAATTTCATGATCCCAACGTTGTGGGAACAGTTTGGGGATGGCCCCTTCCTGTTCAAGCATGACTGCGCACCAGTCCACAAAGCAAGGTCCATAGAGACATGGATGAGTGAGTTTGGGGTGGAAGAACTTGACTGGTCCTAACCTCAACCTGATAGAACACCTTTGGGATGCATTAGAGTGGAGACTGAGAGCCAGGCCTTCCCGTCCAACATCAGTGCCTGACCTCACAAATGTGCTTTTGGAAGAATGGTCAAACATTCCCATAGACACATTCCTAAACCTTGTGGACAGCCTTCCCAGAAGAGTTGAAGCTGTTATAGATGCAAAGGATGGGCCAGCTCAATACTGAACCCTACAGACTAAAACTCATTAAAAGTTCACGTGTGTGCAAAGTCAGGCGTCACAATACTTTTGGCAATATAGTGTATCTGTAGGGGTGGTATCTCCACTTCGTGAACCTCAAATATGAGAAAGCTTGTGGGTGATCTGGCCAAATTCCAACAAGGACTGAGAATCGTTACTTAATATAAAAATCAAAATTTATTGCAAACACAACAGAAAAGAGCGTATTTTCTTTCAACACCATTTACTTATTCCTCAGAAAATATTCAATTGGGGCAAAAATTCAAATGTAAAAATGTAATAAAATAGTACAGCAATGGAATATCATCCAGAATCTATTTTCAGTACAATATGAAATGCTGCATTTAATGGATGCCACACCTTTATGATTAATTACTTACACAACATAATATTCATATTACCTGAGGTCATTACATTTATTAAAAAGGAAAGGGTACTTCTATAGCTAGGTGAGGTTTACAGGCCAAATAGTAACAAAACGAATAAAGCTAGATAATTTTTTTCTAACTGCATCTGAACAGTCACAATCCCTCTTCTCTACTTGGACAATATAAGTAATATATACTTAAAACATCAGCAAATGGTAAATGTAAAATTAAGGACCCCATGGCTATTAAGGCAGCAGTGCTTAAATATAATCTGTAAGCATGTGCTGCTAAGAATCTCACAACAGCAGCAGCCACTAGTGGTCATGTCCCATCATAATGACGTGGCTGCTGGTCCTACACTGATCAGACTGCAGAAGTGTTCACAACAGTGAGAGCACCGACAACAAGACCAATTTGGAAATCATCATCACAACCAGAAGTGGTTGAAAGGATGTGTATGGGTGTAAACATTAAGCTATTGCTGTGTGTTATTTCAATCTACTTGCAAAAAAACAAACAAGCAAGATTCTTCATGAGCAGAGGGTGGGTTAGATTCAATTCGGTTTCATTTTAATGTGGATAAAGTTGGGCTTTAAAGCGATTTTCTAAGAAAATAACAAACATGTTATACTTACCTGCTCTATGTAGTGGTTTTGCACAGAGAAGGCTGGATCCTCCTCAGAGACCCCGGATAGCCGAGGCTGTTGTGCACATCGATGGATCATGATGGTGCTCAGGTAAGTACTGAGGGGGGCTGGGGGCACTGTTGCACACAGAAGGTTTTTCATCTTCATGCATAGCATGCATGAAGGTATAAAAAAACCTTGAGCCTTTACAACCACTTTAAGGTATAATTCAACTGACTTCCTATGTATTGTGAAATAGATGGTCTCTGCCCAATATTAAGCTTTTTATGAAATGCACCACACAGGGAGAATAGAACAGGTTGGTGTTCTAATATGCTGATATATAAAATTGAGAGAAATTAAAAGTGTCTGTTGTCCAAAGCAATTAATCATGTTTTGGGGTTTATGTATCTATGGTAGGAAAATAAAATGGTCTCCCTTTCCAGTTTTATTTTTTAAATAGAATTTTCACTTTTCCAAACATTTGCTTTTTAAAAATGCTGTGCTACTAAACACCAAAAAGTGTATAAGTTTTAAAAATTACCTTTTCATTGTCCACAAAATATGCATTATGTTTTACCAAAGTAATCTATAATAAATCAAATAGCACTGGATGTCTACTTTAATAATGCAGTTGTCTAAGTCAGGACTCTGTTGGAAACTCAAGCTAACTATATTTAGTACATTTTATTGAAAACCTGTACTGAGAGAAGAGCATAGGCTGGCACTGTTGACTTCATTTTGGAAATATAAGACATCTGTCTGTCTCTGGCGTCAATACTTTAAAGAAGAATTCCAAGTATGGATAATTTTACATAGTTACATTGCTCCAGCTTGGACCAATCTAAATTATGCATATATCATACCTATGGGATCTCTCTAGAAGCTGTAAAACACTAAAATAGACAGACACCACTACTATAGTGACCTACACACTTGGCATTGGTGCCATTCAGAGAATGCTTTCCATTTTCCCAATTAATTCAGAGCATTCTCTGATTGAACAAGGTTGTGATTGTGATGTCACTGTCCTACTTCTCCACCCTGTTCAATCAGAGAACATTTTGTGGACAAATGTAACCATGTACAAATATCCACATCTGAAATTCTTCTTTAAGACACTGACCTAGAAAAAGCACACAAATGAGGAAAGTCACAACTCCTAATCTCCATATGAGTTCCAGGTCAATAATCCAGCACAGTATTTCTTAATCTGGGTTCCTCCTGAGGTTGCTAGGGATTTCTTGAGCAATGGTGAACTGAATTTCCCACATACACAGACAACCAATGGAAGGAGGCAATTTTCCACTAACCGCTAATGTAAGGGGGTCTCTTCTACACTGACTGCTAATGTTAGAGGACTCAACACCTTTCATATCTTCATTTTTCAAGTATATTCTTGAAATTCATTTTTTAAAAGGTTGGTAACAAAAATATCTTGGTGTCAAATATGGTAAGTACATCACATTACTTATTATTGTATTCAAAATGTTCTTCAACTTATTGATCATGCTAATGTACCATGAGCGGCAGGTGCATAGCTACATAGCTGGTAAGGTTGAATAAAGACACCAGTCCATCCAGTTCAACCTGAGGGTGTGTGTATGTGTGTGTGTTTATGTCACTACCACTTTCCATATCCATGTACATTGTGTTCCTCAAGAAACACATCTAAAAGTTTTTTTTATTTATCTGACAGACACCACCAACTGTGGAAGGGAGTCCCTCACCCCTACAGCTCTAACAGCAAAGGACCCCTTATGCAGCTTAAGATTGAACCGCCTCTTGTCCAACCTCATTGTTTAGCCGCGTGTCTTCTTCAGAGACATTAAGTTACATAGGTTACTCCCAATGCTACAGTCAGTAAGGATTTATACATTGTGATCATATCTCCTCTTAAGCATCTCTTCTAGAAAAACAAGTTTAATTTTTGTAGTTATTCCTCATAACTGAGGTTCTCTAGCTCCTTATTTGTTTTGTTGCCTTTCTCTGGACTCTCTCAAGGTCAAGAACATACTTACTGAGGACTAATAACCAAAAGGGATGGCATACTCAAGATGTGGCCAAGCCAGGGTTTTGTAAAGTGGTAACAATATAATTTTATCTCTTGAGTACATGCTCTTTTTAATCCATGATAATAGTCTGCAAGTCCTGCTTGCTGGAGCTTGGCATTGCATGCTATGGCTGAGTCTGTGATCTACTAGGACCCCCAGATTCTTTTCCATCTTTGTTTCCTCCAGAGGTTCTCCCCCTAGTGGGGATTTTACATGCATGTTGAACAGGGGTTCCCCAAGATCCTGAAATTGAGAAATTATTTAATTGGTTCCTCTGGGGTTAAAACGTTCAGAAGGCCTGGTCTAGAATATTACTCAATCTACTGGATATGTAAAGTAGTCAGGGAACTAGTGTTTGCAAATGTAAAGTGAAGGGTAGCCTTTATGCTTTCTTAGTAAAAGGTTTTCTTTAAGTGCCATAGGCTAGAGTCTGAAAACGAGGCTTTTCATACATGGACCATAACCTGTCATCTGCATTTCTGTAAAACTGCAAAATACCTAACAGAACACACAGTTACTGTTGCCAGCATTTTCTTTTACAAAGTTCATAAGTACATAAAATGGCAGACAGTGTTGTCTTGTCCTTCTTCACCACTGGATCAAAGGTGATTGGAGTTATTTTGAATCACTATCCTGCTCTGATGTCGAGCTGGCAGGCTGTACATTTTCTGCCAGGCTGTGTGCATGCTCCAGAAATAAGTCCTTCAGCACACTCAACTCTTTGGTGAGTAGCTTGATTTTTGCTTCCAATCTTTCATTTTCTTCTTTCAACTGGTTGACTCTTTGCAATGTATCTTGAGCTTTCTGTTTGCTTTTTAACCGGCTCTTTTTCACCGCCATATTGTTCCGCTCTCTGCGCAGACGGTATTCTTCACTGCCACGATCTGACCGTTGTCCTTTCTTGTTTTTACTGGGAGGAGTAGCTTTACCTCCTCCTCCTGGGTTGAGAGGCACAAGCTGTGGACTGGCTGGGCTGTCCGAATTGGCATCTTCAAGGCCTTCATCTATAGTATGTGGGGGGACATTCATTTTAGTTGATTCTTGCTATCGATGAATGCAATAGGGTTGACCTGACTGATGAGCTGTAATACAACAACAAAAATTTAAAATCCTTATATACAAAAAAAAATTAAGAAAAAAAAAAATTAAAAAAACTTAATAAATATATACATAATAAATTCATACTCTGAATGGTCTGGGTCATCAGTGCTGTACCCCAGGGTTCAGTGTTGGGACCCTTACTTTTTAATATATTTATAAACGATATAGAGTCTGAGATTAAAAATACCATTTCAGTCTTTGCAGATGACACCAAGCTGTGCAGTGGAATAACGTCCTTACAGGATGTCTCCAATTTACAAGCCGACCTCAATGCACTGTTTAATTGGGCAACTATTTGGCAAATGAGATTTAATGTTGATAAATGTAAGGTTATGCACTTGGGGGTTAAGAATATACATGCATCATACATACTGGTGGGGGGGGGGGGTACAACTGGGGGAATCAATGGTGGAGAAGGATCTGGGGGTTCTGGTAGATCACAAGCTTAATAATGGCAATGCCAAGCTGCGGTTTCTAAAGCGAGCAAAATCCTCTCTTGTATTAAAAGAGGTATAGACTCTAGAGAGAGAGAGATATCATATTACCCCGGTACAAATCATTAGTAATACCTCATCTGGAATATGCAGTTCAGTTTTGGGCACCAATTTACAAAAAGAACATTGGGGAACTGGAGAAAGTACAGAGAAGGGCAACCAAACTAAAAAGAGGCATGGAGGAGCTCAGCTATGAGGAAAGATTAGAGGAACTAAATTTATTCTCTCTTGAGAAGAGGAGATTAAGGGGGGGATATGATCAACATGTATAAATACATCAGTGGTTCATATAGTGAACTCAGTGTAGAGCTATTCACCCTGAGGTCATCACAGAGGACATGGGGGCACTCTTTACGTCTGGAGGAAAAGAAATTTCATCTCTAAACACGGAAAGGTTTCTTCACAGTGAGAGTTGTGAAAATTTGGAATAGACTCCCTCAAGAGTTGGTTCTGACCAGCTCAGTGGATTGCTTCAAAAAAGGCCTGGATTCTTTCTTAGATACACAGAATATAACTGGATACTAACATTTATAGGTAAAGTTGATCCAGGGAATATCAGATCGCCTCTGGGGGGAATCAGGAAGGAATTTTTTTCCCAGCAGGTGCAAATTTGATCATGCTTTGCTGGGGGTTTTTTTGCCTTCCTGGATCAACTGTGGGTATAGGATTATAACTTTTTTTTTTTCTTTCATGGCTGAACTGGATGGACTTTTGTCTTTTTTTTCAGCCAGACTAACTATGTAACAATGTAATAAGTTAATTTCTTATTATTCACCTGTAACCCAAAACTCTGTTTGGTGAAAAATATGTGTCATAAGGAACAGGAAGGCAGAACCCTTTACCACAAGATATAAAGATTTCAGGATTAAGATACGCCTACTGTATTAATCAGGCCAAACCTCCATAATAAAAAGGCACTGCTCCATGCTGTTATTAAAGGCAAAATGCTTATTTTAAAAAAATAACAAACATGTTATACTTACCTACTCTATGCAGTAGGTTTGCACAGAGCAGCCCTGATCCTCCACTGCTCTGGCCCCCCACTAGCACTGCTGGCCCTTCCCTCCTGGCAAGTGCCCCTAGAGCAAGCACCTTGCTATGGGGCATCTGAGCAGGCTCGCTCCTGAGCCGCTGCTCTATGCATCCATTCACACACAAAGTGTGGTCTAGTCCCCCCCCACCTCTCATTGGTTCACTGATTGTGATGTACAGTAGTGGAAGCCAATGGCTCCCGCAGCTGTCTCAGTCAATGAGGGAGAGTCCTGGGAGAGCCGCAGCTCTCATGCACATTGCTGGATCCAGAGGGAGCTCAGGTTGGAATTGGGGGCTGTTGCATACAAAAGGTTTTTTCCTTCTTGCATAAAATGCATGAAGGGGAAAAACCATGAGTCTTTACAACAACTTGAAATCTAAAACTTGTCTTGTCCTGCCTAAGAGCTGTCACTGTAAATTATCTGCAGTGATCATTGTTAAACAAAACATATGCTCCTCTGAGACTTATTTAATTTCCTTAGTTACCAGGGGATGACTTAAGTGCTAAAGCTGGCCACACACTATGCAGTTTGGCCAATTTCAACCATGTCTGATTGAAAAAAAAAAAATGGTTGAAAAGATCATGCTAACAAATCGCCAACAGATTTGTTCATTTTACCATATTGATAGAGTCTTGGTTGTAAGTTACTCTGATCTGATCAGCCATTTCTTGCGAATGAAAGCAGGTAAAACTGCCCAGGGTACAGCCAAGAATAGTCCTGCCAAACTGCCATCCTCAAAGAATTTCAGTAGTTCTTATGCATTGCGTTTATCTTACTGCACAGAATTCTTCAAAGAATAAGTTCTACATTTATCTCTTCCATTGCGGACAATAAGTGCCTTCTAGATGTCACATATAGCTACATTTCTTCATTTTATTCCAAATAATGTAAAATATTTTGGCAGTCACCAATATAAAAGTGCACTCACGATATAAAATGTCATACTTCCAAGAAGAAAGAAATGTCTCTTTACCCCCTCGTAATACACCTTTTATATCCAACTAGACAGAACTAGGAATGCACAGCTGTGTATAGTTCCTAGTTCTCAGGCCCAATGTCAAACAAAAAATTAACTTAAAAAAAAAAAAAAAAAAAAAAAAAAAAAAAAAAAAAAAAAAAAAAGGATTATAGTCGTGTTTACTGATGCACAGTTGTGCTGCTAGACTTAAACAGATATTATATCCCTTAAAGTGCAACTACACTGTATCTGAGCACCACAAGCCAGTTTTAATTCATTGTTAATATTCAAAGCAAATTCCCCCATCCATTCATGTCTCCATGCTTTATTTTGCTAAGAAATCATTTTTGAAACCCTCCACCTGGCATTTCTGGCAGTGGCCATCTCAAGTAAGGGCAGATGATTCATGTAGCATTTACTTCCTTGAATCCATCTGTCCTTAGCTCAGGCAATGGCTGAGCTGAGAACGCTTCCTCCCCTCCTGAAGACTGCTGGGATGCATGACATCATTTGCCTAGGCTTGGAAACCAGGAAGTAACTGAAAAAAAAAAAGTTTAAAAAAAGTAAATATATACTTTCCTATCCATTTACTAATGCCAGCAGCATAAGGATTAAAAATAGTCAATGTTGATGGAGAGAGTGAAGTTCCACTTTGAAGCAGTTATAAAAGGTTTTATTTTTTTTCTTAAAAATAATGAACACATCATGCTTACCTGCTCTGTGCAATGGTTTTGCAAAGAGCAGCCCCGATCCTCCTCTTCTCAGGTCCCCTGTTGGTGCTTCTGGCCCCTACCCCTGCTGAGTGCCACCAGAGCAAGCTGCTTGCTCTGGGGGCACTCGTACATGCTTAAATATAAAAAATAATCCCCCTGCGCTCCACTGGTATAAACAAACAAAACCTCAAATATATGCAAGCTGCTTCCACCTATTCCCAATACCACAGGATGTATAACGTAAAAAACCCAATGTTGGTGAAGCGCTTCACATAAAGAACTAAATATATAAAGTACAATGATCTAAAAATATAAATGCATATAAAGTGACCACGCTGTATTGAAAGATATAAATGACTAGTGCTAAGTATTCCTCCCCCCCAAAAAAAAAAAAAATATATAAGTGCCAAGTGCTGAAAGTGCAAGACAGGTCATGCGTTTGCTGACTAGATCGTGCCAAAATACAATATATGCAAAGTAAAAGTAATACACAATGACATTGCGCACTCTAACTGAAAGTGACAGGTGCTCAGTATGAATATAAATGTTGGTTAAAGATACAAATCCACAATAAATGCAATAACAAGTGCTTGACATTTCATGTGCAAACAAACACCGCGATGTCAGTGCTTCAATTCTTCACTCCAAACATGATGCGTGTTAGCATGTCACACGTGTATATCGTAATCCAAAAGTGGCTAAAGTGCCTCCTCACCTTAACCATGCGACCCCTAAGGGCCACAATGCTTTAAGTAATAATGCTCCACCAGACTGGGGATCTCTGTTATAATGATCCTGACGAAGCCACGTGACATCGTGCAGTAACGCGTAGAGCGCGGTGACGTACTTCCAGTTACACACATCCGACAGACGCCATCTTTGGACACCCAGCACCTTGCTGTACACCCACAGCACATGGGAGACCAGCTGTATGAGATCTGCAATGCTGTGAGTGTTCTCTTTTGGATTGTTTTCATCTGCTATATGGAATAAATGGTATTTCACTATGGAGGCTCTCTTTGTCTACCTCTCTATGGCCTTGTGATTATCCTGGGGGTATTAATATCTGAGGGCATAAGTGACCTGGCAGAGGAGACTGAGTGGTACTACAGGAGCATTATAACAGAGATCCCCAGTCTGGTGGAGCATTATTACTTAAAGCATTGTGGCCCTTAGGGGTCCCATGGTTAAGGTGAGGAGGCACTTTAGCCACTTTTGGATTACGATATACACGTGTGGCATGCTAACATGCATCATGTTTGGAGTGAAGAATTGAAGCACTGACATCGCGGTGTTTGTTTGCACATGAAATGTCAAGCACTTGTTATTGCACTTTATTGTGGATTTTTATCTTTAACCAACATTTATATTCATACTGAGCACCTGTCACTTTCAGTTAGAGTGCGCAATGTCATTGTGTATTACTTTGTATATATTGTATTTTGGAAATATCTAGTCAGCAAACGCATGACCTGTCTTGCACTCTCAGCACTTGGCACTTACATATTTGTTTTTTTATTTTTTGGGGGAATAATTAGCACTAGTCATTTATATATCTTTCAATACAGCGTGGTCACTTTATATGCATTTATATTTTTATATCATTGTACTTTATATATTTAGTTCTTTATGTGAAGTGCTTCACCAATACTCGTACATTATTATTATTATTATTACTACATCGAGTTTATATAGCGCCAAAGGGTTTGCTCAGCGCTGTACAATAGAG